GGGTGCCCCCCCGCCGGCCCCGCCCCAGTCCTGTGTGTCTGTTGCGAGGCCACAGCTCCGGGAGCGCAGGGGCAGAAGAAAATGGAAGGATGTGTTTTCTCTGATGTGCTTAGAGATGTGTAAGTTGGTGGTTAGTGAATAATAATAGTGAATTATTAACCGGCAATGCTTAACTCGCTGGAAGTGGGGTGGTAGCAGGGGCCCCTCCAAGCCCCTCTGCTCTGAGCCATCTGTGCTGCAGATGGACCTGGTGAGTTTCTTGCCTCTGCCTCCTCTCCTGCCCCATTTTGCCTCTGGCATGGTCCTCAAAACCCTGCTGGCTTCCTCTGTGCTCTCTCCTTGCTCCAGGTTTACCCAGAGCCCCAGCTGGCAGGGCAAGGAGGTAGGAGCAGGCGCGACTGACTGAATGACTGATGTGCTTGCAGCCCTGCTGCAGCTCACCCCAGGCAACACTTGCCCACCCCCATGTGGCACAGGACAGCAGACAAACCATGGCCCTGTCACCCCTTTTGCTAAACCTCCCCCCGGCTACAACAAGCCACCTCCTTGTCCTCCACGTCATCATTTTCCACACAGGTCACTCATCTCCCACCTCCTGCCCAACAAACTGAAGACAAAAACTGCCCCATGCCCTGAGTATCGATGGGTTCCCAATGCACCATCCCTTTGCCGGAGGCAGAGGAGGGGACCAGGACCAGCCGCCCCTTCCCAGCTGGTCTCTCCCTCCCCATAGGGAAGAGCCCTGGAGAAGCTGCAGGTAAATCACAGCAATCACTGTCAGCTCCAAAGAGATGGAGAGGGCAGAGGCCAGGTTTTATTGTGCCTTAACTCAGTAATTCCTCTGTCAGAGGGATGTTTTGCGGACAAATATGTTGTGGAGCTTTAGGCTATTCTTTGCGTAGAGAATATGGAAGTGGAAGCAGGAAATTCAGGAACAAGGAAGAGCTTTTTCAGATTAAAGATGAAATGATCACTTGCAGACAACTGTTTAGGAACAACAAAATGGGAGTGCATCCCTCAGACCTGACTAGACACCAGTCGGTCCAAAACAGGTGACTGTGGTCATGTATAGTCTTGGTCAAGAGCTAGCAATGAGCTAGCTAATCCCATTTACATGCCAACGTACACTCTGCTCGTACGAAGCACGGTTATCAGCATCCACACTTACAAGCAGCATGGGTCTTTGTGTGTACAGAAGCTACAAAAATGCCAGCTGAACTTTGCCTCGCCAGCAGAGAGGAAGCACATACTCTGCAAAGGGTTAATCCTTAGTGCAGTTAAAATGGGTTATAATTCAGTTAAATGCCTGGACTATTGTCAGCCAGTTCTGTTCACTATCTGCAGAAAAAAAATAGTTTTTCTGGCCAAATCCAAAGGGCACCTCCATTTCCAAAAGCTGGAGGAACTTGCAGTCATTTCGGACAAACGTCAACACTGCCCTTCTGGTGTGGTTACAAATTGCAGAAAATCCCGGGGGAGCGGGCAGGGGGGAGGAATGTAACCCCGGGGAGCTCTGATTGTCTCCTGTGGACGCTGCACCCACAACAAGGACGTGAGCTTAGCCACAAGGTTGTGCAAGTCTCCTGACAGCCTGGCAGCAAAAACAAAAACCATGTCGGAACTACTCTGACACCTGCCCCATCCTGGGAAGTGTTCAAGGTCAGGCTGGATGGGGCTTTGAGCAACCTGATCTAGCTAAAGATGTCCCTGCCCAAGGCAGGGGGGTTGGACTAGATGATCTTTGAAGGTCCCTTCCAACCCAAACCATTCTATGATTCTGTGATCTCTGTAGATGCAAGCTCCGACATTTTCTATTTCTGTGCACACATTGCTAAAAATAGTAATTGTTGTTAATGTTTCAGTTATTAAA